AAGACATAGAATTAAGAAAGTGCATAGAAAGCAAATCAAAGCTAGTACTCTAACTTGTTTTGCAACATGTAGCAGTAAGAGTAAAGCAAATAAACATAGTATAAAGTTGATCTACAAAGCGTAAGGAGGTAGATCTCATCTCTTCGCAATAGGGCAAAGTCAATCTATCCTTAAAGGCTTTTAGAATCAATTATGCATTAAGAACAAGAAAAAAACGAAATACATGTTTAGGTATTGATTTAGGCTATTATGGCATGGCTGCTTAAGTTCATAGAGAGGTTAAAAACAAGTATGTATAGGGGGTTTAAGGAGGCTTAAGTCGGCTAGGTCTTCTCCGGGCAGAAACGTCTTTTTGGTCGAAACTGAGGCAATACCGGTCACAATACCGGACGGGTTGCGTGACCGGTATTTGAGGCTTCTATGGCGCTTCTAGAAGGTCGGCAAAGGTCTGGATCATAGGCCCATGGGCGGCCCGGTGCCTGGCTCCTTTATGCACTCACTTCACTTCGAAGGCAGTTTGACATGTCTCAGTGTTTCAAGTGTATCTTCTAAAGTACAGCTCCAATTGATGAAATTAACTATTTTGGAAAGCTAACTCAAAGGGATATCTTCATACCAAGTTTCATTAAATTTTCCAATTGATTTGATCCTCCGTTCATCAGCGAATTTCTGGCGTATACGTTCTGTCCAGTTTGAGAATATGCATTATCTTCAAGATAAAACGACTTGGCTTGGTTCCTTTGACTTGAATGAGTAGCTGCATCATAGATAACACTCTTTTTGCTCCATTTTACATCCTTTTGATGATAAAACCTGTTAAGACCTTAAAATCTACAAATACGAGAAAACTACTTCTTTTGGTCGAAAAACTTTATTAATATATGTAAAAACCATAGTAAAATAGATAGTAAAAGTGGTAAAATATAGGGTATATCATCACACCACCAGTGGAAGATCAGATCTAGAGGATCAAGGAAGGAGAAGCTCTTCGAACGACTTGGCAATAAGGCATGACGAAGGCCCTCTCGCGGCCTCGGTCGAAGCCGGAAACCGGAGAGGCAAGCGGTAGATTTGCGCCGGAGAGATCTAGAGAACGATTTTCGTCGGTGAAATCGCCGCGCGTGTACTCACGCGCCCGATTTTTGTGAATTTCGATTTTTTTCCACTGAAATTTTTTCATATGAAAAACTATAGTGGTACTTTTAAAAATATACACAACAAAAATGGTATTTTTGCAATTGTCCATAGTTTTTTATGCAACTCCTGGTTCGAAATCTCATACTAACTAAATGACCGCCTTACTAGAACCCGTCCTATTTTGTTTCCGTATACCAGTTCTAGTTTGAGTTATATAAAATATCAGTTGAAGCAAACGCAAAATAATCCAATCGTTAGTTCTGGACTCTTTTCATACTATTCGCTTTTGCAATCACCCATTTTCTATAATCGGATTTAACTTATATTTTATAGTTATCAAAAAAAAAAACTTATATTTTATCATATTATTAAAGCTTTAGAGCAACTTTAACTCCATTCTATCTTTTTTTTTTCACTCCAAAATAAACAAACAATATAAAATGTGGTGAAAGATTATAACAATCACTACAAGAAAACAGGGTCGTTTCCGACGGCCAAAACCGTCAAAAATCCGTCGGAATAACCCCTATTCCGACCGCTTTGGTCCGTCGGTTCTATCTCGTCGGAAATAAATATCCGTCGGAAATCCGTCGGAAAAACCCGACGGACTTCCGTCGGAAAGAAATACCGACGGATTTCCGACGACGGTGGTTTTCCGAGGGATTTCCGACGGAAACTTTCACCGACGGATTTCCGACGGCCAGGAATTCCGACGAATTTCCGACGGCACCTTTGCCGACGGTCACGCAAACCGACGAAATTCCGACGGATTTATTATTTTTTTAAAAAAATATTTCT